CATCTCCCCAAGCGTCTGCAGTCACTTCATCCCTAGAATCACATCTGTGCTGCTTAAATCCAAGGGAAGGAAGTCCTCCACCACCTGTAGGCCATGTAGTAACAGAACCCACCCCTTCCAAATTCCCTGAATTTTCTCCATCATGACGTCGAAGCACTCTGCAGTCACCAATTCCAACCCTAGCTAATCAATGACCTGATTTGAGAAAAAATTATGTGTGGCCTCGCTATCCACCAACTCCACATTGGTTGTTCCCAGATCCGCCCCCCTCACTTTCATAGTGTCATTCGGAGTAAATCCCCCACCGAATTGAGGGACACCTCCACTACATACAAATGCAGATACTCCTCCATTGTGTCTTCCTCTGATTACTCGCCCCTATCTCTTCCTCCTAAATGAAGAGGATCTAAAGGGTGCGCTCCTTACAAAGATGGCCTGAGGCAATTTCTCGTCACAGCGGTAACACAATCATTTTACTCTTTTATCATACACTTTTGCATCAATGAGGCGCTTGAAATTGCCTCGGGACGGGTCCGCATATTCTTTTCCTTTAGAGTCTCTTTATGAAATGACACTGTCTGGGTCCTCGGTGTTGTGGCTATCAAGACACTCTTTTAGAATCCTCCTATATTGTCAGCTTTGAGGGTCCTTTTCAGTTGTTTCTTGCCCCCCATTATCTGGGCAAGCTCCACAATTTCCCTCAATCCACACGGTCTCAATTATCGGATGGTTGTTGTATGTCGGGTTTAAGACCTTTTAAGAAGTTCCCCTCATTCCTGCCGCAGAAATACCCCTCAAAGTCTAACAAGAGCTCGAACTTCTCCTTGTATTCCGTAATCGTCCCCTCCTGAAACAAAGTATAGAATTTCCCATGTAGTTCTCCTTCTCGAATGGCTCGTAAACGCTCCAACAAGCAATTCATAAACTCCTCCCACGAGTGCATCGGATACCTTGCCTCCATCCACTGAAACCATTGTCATGAGCTTCTCTTCCTCGGTTAACCCATTGACTGCAAAGTATCGCTCCACTCGATATACCCGCTCATGTGCATCTTCCCTTTCGAAGATTGATATCTTCAATTTTCTGACCCTTGCATCTCCAACCCAGCTTCCTCTTCCTCTGGTATTTCCCCCATATATCTAGGGTGAAACTCCCTTCGATCATAATCATACCCCACTCTCAATTCCCTCATTCCTCATTCATGCTCTTCAACGCCCTTTGCAACATCCCTCCTCCAGTTTTCGCCCAACCCCTCCATCAAAAATCTCCACTCCCCCTCCTCTCGGATCCCTAGGGGAACGCTCTTGGTGGTAGATGATGTCCTCCTCGTTGTCTTCTCGTTCAATCTCTTTCCCGATTTGGTCAGGGACTCCATGATCAACCCTAGGTTAGAGTTTGCAACTTGAGCGGTCGGCATAGCCTTGGACTGCATCTCCATTAGCTTCTTCATCATCTCCCGCATTTCTCCTATACTCGCGAATCTATCCTCCATTCGACTCTCTATGGAATAAAACCTGTCCTCAATGGTGGCAAACCTTTCTTCCATTCTAGCAATGATTTGTCCAACTTCTTCTTCCAACACATTCACTTTCTATGTTGTCATCCCTCCAAGATCTTGCTCTGATACCAACCTGATATGATCTGAAACCAAAATCAGCGGCCAACAGCTACAAAATTGCAATAGATAGGTGGAAAAACTCAAAAGAGGGCTACTCTTATAAAAATCAAAGAGAAACAAGCAAAATACAATGATAATCTATTGTTCGAGAGGTAGATTGTCTCTCACACAATCGTAGACGTCGCTAGGAACACCTCAAAAAAGAAAAGAAAAAAACTGCAGCCAACACAAAACCTCACACATCCAAAATAAACCCTAGCCCCCTTCTCCCCCTGAATACTTCCCTTAGATCCTTTCCAAAAATTTTCCCCCCAAATCCCCCTTAATTACTTTCCAAGCAACGGTTTCATGACTTCTGCGTAGGCGTTGGAATCGCGCACTGCAACGCGCGATGTGGTCATCTCGCTTAAACCGACCGCCTGCTGCTCTGGCTCGGGCTTGCTGGTCAAAACTGGTTCCGCTGACGAGGGCGCTTATCACATAACTCTTATATTTAACCAAGCATCAAGCAATAAGATCAAAATAAGTCATTTTATAGTTTCATTTTCTTAGGAATTCAGTTTCACAAGATTTATGTTATCCATATCTTGTCATATGTTTTCTTTTTTATGTAAAAATTCATGCTGATTGTAATTGATCTAATCATACACTCCCTCATTGAAATATTTAATTTAAAAAAGTGTTATATATATATATATATTTTTCGATGGGTTTTGCTATGCTAAGGTTTGCTCTAGTCGCGATTCCATGGCGACTCCAGTAGCCCTCATTATTTTTACGCTGGAACGAGAACGAAGTCTGTTCGTCGCATCGTCGCCTCGTCGTACTCGAAGAAGGGAAGGGGAGCGTCGTAGCAGGTTCGTCGCCTCCCTAGCTCTCATACGAAGCCTTGCCCCGCTCGAAGAAGAAGGGAAGGGGAGCATCGTAGCAAGTTCGTTGCCGCCCTAGCTCATGCACAAAGCTTCAGCTTCACAGAGCATTGCCTTATTCCTCTCCTTCGATCCCGACTCGTCCGACCAGGTGAAAGACTTTCGTCATCGCAAAAGCCGCGCGCAAGGTTTCATCGGCTTCGACGTAGATTGCACCCATAGTCTGTTTCATCATCCTCTTCTTCGACACACCCGCATATTGACACGACTTCCACGCCGCTCCAGACTCAGGTCGTGGTCATTTTGCCTGGTGGAGATGGCCTCGACGCTCCGTTCTTATGCCACTGCACTTGCCAGTGGCAATCCTACTCGTGCCTCTATTTCAGGTTCAGGGTCTGGTTTTGGTATCGGTAAGTACTGCATTGTTCCACAATCCTTTCACGAGTTGAAGGTGGTGGTGATCACACTTTCATTGAAAATCTTGCCACCTACCATCCCTACTGAGGAGGTGCAACCCGACCCCCTTTCCAACACCGCATATATCTCTGCTCATATGACTGACGTTGTTCCTGATGTGAAATTTTCTGATGACCCTCCTACTCAAACCTTTGTTGTTTCAAATGAAGAACATCATACCCAAGCCATTTACCCCTGGATGCTCCTGCTTTTGAACACTCTATTCCAGCTGCTGGATTGGAGTAGGAGCATGGTACTCTAGAGTCTCATGAAACATCTCCCCATACTACTAGTTCTGATCCAAACGTGTCTATATGACTCATGTTATTGAAGAAGGCTCACTTACATGTCAAAACACACGAGAGTGCTCATTTCATCCAATAAAATATCAGTTGGTACACTGAGTAGATACTTCCAATGTTCAACCTACACATGTTCGGCACACTTTAGACCAATCCACTAATCAGATGAGTCAGTATTAGGATGAGGAATGACAGGTCTATTCTAGAAGGAAGAAGAAGATGGAGGCCGACTCGAGCTCAGGAACTTATTGGACGATACATTGGTTACTACTGACAATGACACTCATCTTACCAATTTGTTAGCTGACTCCTTTCCTAGAACTATAGGCAGAGGCAAGGCAAAATCGAGTCGCTCTCTAACTACTTGATACTACGTGTTTTGGCACTTTTGGTTTTTGGACTCTCGCGTATTTTTCTATATTTTCTTTTTCTTTCTGAAACTCATTTGCATGTGTTGTTTACTGTGTGGATATGGTGTCATGTTTGGGCCCTCTCATACAATCTATCTGTATTTTTCTTTCTTTTTAATATACTAATCCTTGGGCTTTCTCAAATAAATATATATATATATATCAGGTAGGGTCAC